TCCCCCCTCCGCACCCCTCGGCACCCCTGGTGCACTGGTCCTGACCTTGTAGCAGGGGCCCGGGGCTGGGCTGGGGCCGGTGTTGACCAGGGCGCTCAGCACTGAGACGGGCCCACACTTGGTCTGAGAAGGCCCGAGATAGCGGCGAGCTCTGACCTGCCCGCAACCCCAGGGCACACTCACGTGACCCACCTCTCTGCTGAGCAGGGTCCAGCCGGCCCAGCCTGGAGAACCGGGCCAGCCCCTCCCTGCCAGCCCCAGCCCCAGCCCCAGCCCCAGCCTCACCAGCCTTCTCTCCCTTTCCTCCTCCTGCTCTCTCCCCAGGACCTGGCCCTGTGGGGGTGCTATCGGGGGATAGGGCAAGGCTGGGATAAGCTTCTCAAGTGTCCCAAAGCAGCCCCTCCGACCCTGTGACCCTCAGGTTTGTCACAACCCCTCCTACCCCCCCCCCAAGGACAGGCCCCAGTGAGCCTGAGACACTGGCCCTGGGACCATCACTCTCCCCCTCTCCCTCCCCCCTGGGCTGAGGCAGAGGCTCCCCTGACCCCCCCACCCCCAGAGTTAGCAGCCACAGTGCTTGTGGCAGTGGAGGAGCTGCTGGGGGTCTGAGCAGCCCCCACACCCCCGCTCCCTGCAGCTGCGATGCAGAGGGAACACCCCAGCTCTGGGTTGTAAGTGGGCCCCCCCATCACCCCGCACTCAGACAGCCTGAGGCAGGCTCTTGGGGGAGCCCAGATGCCTCTGGAGCAGAGAAGCTCCCCAAGGCTGGCTGCTGGGGCTTCTCTGGGCAGCTCAGGCCGGATGGGGGGTGGGGGGCGGGCTCAGGAGTAAACACTAGGGGCCAGGAGCAAAGCCAGGACGGAGGGGCAGAGCTTGTGGCCCTAGACTCCCCTTGCACAGAAGAGGGGCTCCTGGACGGACATCCCTCAGGGCCGCCATCTGGTGCCGAGGCAGGAGACTGACCTGGATCCCGCCCCCCCCCCCCCTGCAAAGGGGGGAACTGTCAGAGCAGGGACCACCAGGCCCCCTCCTGGCCGACCGCCAACCTCACGGGGCCACCTTGGGCATCAGCGCTCGGGAGGGTATTGCAGATGAATGAGAGCGCATAGTAGGTGCTCAGTGAATGCTCCCGGATAGTTCCTCACCGTAAGACGGTGTAATAGCTGCTCAGTCGTGGGAATTAACTGAGAGAACAGGCGGAGAGGCTGTGCACAGGTGACGCCCCAGGCAACTAGAAACCACTCTTTTGGCTGCGATGTAGACCCCCAGAGTCTGCAGCCCCCGCTGAGGGCCGGGTTTTCACATTTGTGCTTCCTTTCGAGGCTTCTGTTTTCAGACTCATCACCTCCGTTGTCCTCACCAGCATGTCTGTGAAGTGGCGAGTGATGGGTGATGGGCGGGAGGGAGTCCTCTCACCTTTGCAGACAGGAGGTGGTGAATCCTTTGCCCAAGGGCACGCTTGGCCTCGGAGAGGGGCTCCCCCAGTCTCCACAGGGGCCGTGTGCTGTCACCCCCACCCCATCGGCAGCCTCCCCGGCTAGGACGGCTAGGACCAGCTGCCCCTTCTGCATCTTTCTAGCTCTCGGGTCTGAGACCTCCTCTGGCCTAAGCGCTGTTTTGGCAAATGATCAGCTCCCGGCTCACAAAGGGGGACGCTCCCAAATAGGAAACAACCTGAGAGCAGGTCCGAGACACCCGTGTGTCTTCCGAGGCGTCGGTTAAGTTTACGTTCCGACTGGGTCTGTGCAGGCACTTCCATGGCGTCCAGCCCCACTGCCAGCGGCAGGCGGCAGGGCCCGGCCCGCGTGATGTGCCCGAGGGTGCATGAGCCCCAGCTCTGCCCTCGGGCTGTGGGACCCAGGAAAAGGTGGCAGGGACCCCACTCCTGGCCATTAGGGGAAGCAGCGGGCGCTGGGCCAGCCCGGGCACTCGGGGAGGAAAGGGCCCGGGGAAGGCATGCCACTGGGTGGAGAGGAAGGCGGGCGCCCAAGGACTTCTGCCAACGGCCAGTGAGGCTGCGGGGCGGAGGGAGATGCCTCGCGTGCAGGGCGTGCGGCACGAGGCTGGAGAAGGGTGTGGGCAGGTCTGTGGGCGGACATCTGGAAGAAGGCTGGAATGCAGGTTAGGGAGGTAAACAGTGGGGAGCCGCTGAAGGTGTCTGAGCCTGAGAGTGATGC